GCGCTCACACTCATCCGTTACCGCATTACTGCGTGGCCGGCCTCCTGCCACATATACTGCAGGTAGTTATGACATAATTTGTTTTATCTTTTACTATTCACAACTATTTATATATTAACATTAATGTTAATAGACCTATATAAATTAGTTTTTTTGACAAGACACGTACTTTGAGCATCAGATAATTCACGGTAGACATTATCCATAGACACTGAGAAAGTTCAAAAGTAACGTTCCTGAAATGTTTGCATAATGAAAAAAATGGAACGTTTCTTTAAGGTTTTCTCTAACATTTGCATAACCTAGAAAAAAAATGTGTAAACAACGTAAAAATAAAAACGGGGAACGTTAACAAACTATTCTTAGAACATATTTTAGTTAGCTGATTATTTACGTGTGTTCCGACAAAATATGTAGATATGAATGAAAACTACATGAATGCAGAAAATAATGAATACTAAATAAATACTTTACACCGTTCCCATCCAGCTGCATATACAGCAGTGCATTAATGCATTTAATGTAAATTAAATAATGTAAATTAAATAAAATGAATACCATTTGTACACTTTTCATTAATGTAGTGCTGTTAATGACAACCTGGAATGCTGGACTTTGGCATAGATACTGATCTGATTGAATTACGATGATGACATTGTTTAACTTTGACAACAAAAGAATCTGACAACATTTTTTCTGTTATCACTGTGCAAACATGATGAAGAAACAGTTTGGGAGAGACTTGTCATTAGCAGATTTGAGTGAAACTAGAGGCACTTTTAATGATAAACGCTCAAAGACTATTTTCAAGGTAGGTTTACTGGTAAAATCATTCGTGTAATTGGGCGTTTGACTCAAAACCAAATAGTTACTGGGATATAGACATGTGACAACTTGCCCTATAATATTATCACCATTAAAATGATAGAGAATAATTTTTCTTGGGTGGATTTAGTTACCTAAGACAGGGATCACCGCACATGCCTGCAGTCGTCATGTCTTTAATGAGTGAATTACAGACATCTGGTTAGTGAGGAATGCTCTAAAATCTGTTGCATTAACTTAGCATGTGTCATGCTGACGTAGAATACCACCTCAACTCAACATGGGCCAAACTCATTAAGCACATTAATCAGCACAATGGAAATAATTGTTTGCCATGGGCTCAACAGATTTTGAGACAGAACAGAGAAGTGTGAATCTGTTCACGGCCTTAATGAGATTACATGGATCTGATCAGAGCAACAGCTGCCACACACTTACTGAACGTGACTTTTAATTCACATTTATTGAGCTGCACGAGGGTAACCATCTTGTTTTTGTAGAATCCGAAACTTCATAATGAATATGAACGTTTACTGGTCAGAAATACTCATCTGTTAATGCTAAATAGTAAACAGTAGTCAGTTCTATTCGTGACCATATACAAACACTCTTGACATTTTTACAAGCTATGCTCCCAAGGTCTTTAGAAATGCCGTAATGGTAGCCATTCAGACACTGCAGACATAACAAATGGCTCATTAGAAATGAGAAAACAGAAACAAGAGACTGTTTTGTTTGCTCTCGATGTCCCAATCCTATAAACGGCCTGCACACACACACAAACATACAGGACGGAGAAATGTGGAAGTCAGAAATAACTTGCAGCTCTGCTACTCAGACAGTTATATAATGTGTGTTTGGTAGAAGAACTGAGTCATGTGGAACAAAAGAGAGATAAGAGCCACCGTACTGCGGTTCTTAGACAGCCCGATTCATAAATCCAGCAATGAAGCTCTGTCAGAGTTCACTGCGGCTCAAATACAGTGAAAGTCTGAGACAACACTGGAAATCTGGAATTAAAAGTCCAATTTAAGAGAGACAGAACTCCCTTTATATACTGTACTGGAGAACTGACTTTTAATTTAAAGGCTAAAATTATTAATTTCAAATGAAGGAATGCTATTTGTATTAAACAAAATATATGAAGCCTTTGTTTTTATAAACTTGAGCAGCTGAGTGGATGCACCTTATGTTCATTTTTAATTACATACCAATTTTGCTCTAAATTGTAAAAAAAAAAAAAACTGCAATTGTCCATGTTAGACCATCTAAATATACTGTAATTATTTTTCAGATGCTTCTGCCACCTCATCTTTGACAAAGTAATACTGTAACAGCTGTAATTTAATAAACAAATTCTCTTTTGTATAGAAACATTTTAATCGGAAACATGGTTTAAAGGGACTTCTCTCAAAACCAGATCAATTTTCTATTTTATTTGAAGAAGACAAACTTTCACATTAACAAACTAGCAAGGCAGTACAGCCATGTTTAAGCATAATTCATAGTCGTTGAGATTAAACACCTGCAGTGTTTGTATTCATGCCATTCATACTGTGAAATTATTTGACAAACTGTATTTTTTATCTGCTGAGAGGTTTCAAGCTACAATCGGTACAAAACTGCAAGATGTAAACTCAAAAAAGAGCTAAAATGGTGAGATATAAACTCAGAATTCCAAGAAAAGTGTAAAAATTGCAAGATGTAAAAGCAGAATTTAGAAAATGTTAAAATCGCAAGATGTAAACTCTGAATTCCAAGAAAAGTGTCAAAATTGGTAGATGTAAACTTAGAATTCCATGAAAAAAAGCTAAAACTGAAATATAAACTCAGAATTTCAAGAAAGATTTCAAAATTCCAAGGTTTAAGCTCAGAATTCCACAAAAAAGCCAAAATTGACCATTCGCAGAGAGTTCATTCATGTTAATTTCGTGCTTTAAGTATATATGAAAGACGATTAGTTCACGTGGAGCTTTAACTGAGACAATACAGTGATCTGTCATTACAGAGCCACAAAATGGTATTTATTGTTTGATTTTCTTTAAAAATGACAAACTTTGAAAGCTGAGAGTCCTGAGACCTTGTTTCATACCAGAAGTAACCTGCTCGGTCTCGTCTGTCGGCACATTGTCAGTTTCCTCTTTACTCTGCGATGTATTATTTACTGCGTGAGACCATGAGTAGTGTGAGAGCGCCATTGTTTGTCCGAGATAGCAACAGTAACTAAGGAGGGCAGGTCTATGCGAACGGTCAGCTGCAAGATATAAACTCAGAATTCCAAAAAAGTGTCAAAATTGCAAGATGCAAAGTCAGAATTGCGAGGAAAAAAAGCCAAAATTGTGAGATTTGAAATTGAGAAAAAGTCTGAATTCAGAATTGCGAGATAAAATACACTGCTACCTTTTTTAAATTCCATGGCAGTCACAAGCTACCATAACAATCAGATTCGAACCTGTAAAAACCCCTCAGAAATAAAGAGAACAAACCAAATAACATAACAAAAAATATTTTTACTAAAACTGAACATTTACAGATTTAATTTTCCCAGACAAGTCATACAGATTCCACTCCAGCCGAAACACAAACCTTTACACGCACACTCACACAAGTTTAGTTTGTAATACAACAACGTCAGAGCAGGTTCTGTCAGATAGGCAATGATATAGACGGGTTCACCACATGCGTTTAATGAACTGAAGAGTTTCACAGGAAGGAAAAGGAAAAAAATTCACATCATTTTGTCCCTGACCGAGAAGCAGCATATATGCATCCCACGTTTAACGGGCCCTCCCTCTACACCCCCTAACATAAAAATGAACTAACAAAAATGAACCATCCACCTGGAGCCTACAATCAGTTTTCAGTGAAATCCACTGTGCTAATGACTGTAATAGAAGACTGTACTACACATTCTGACAGGGTCCTGTGTAGTGACCACGCAAGGGATGCTGGGAAACCCCTGGCCGAACCCAGAAGCAGAGATCATATAGTGGAGCGAACATTAGCTCTGACCAGGAACACACCGACACTCACCCAAAGGGCTGCAGTAGTTGCTTTTGAATCGTATTTTTTTTTTCGCTTGCTGTTTTAATTTGTCTGAGAAAGTGTCCTTTAAATGCAAAAGAAGACCGGAGGAGACTGTTCCACTTCTCTCACGTGATGCCACCGTTTCCTTCTTCTAAACTTCAATGTTGTTGCCGGCATAAAGCCTGGTCCATGTTCGGGCTGTGAGAGAGAGAAAAACACCCTCCAGGACATTAATTAAGATCATATCGATTTAATTTGGGTGAATCTCAAAAAAACAGTCATAATACAGTAATGAGAATCAGAAAAACTGGAATTGCAAAAATGACAACAACAACAAACAAAAAACAAACAAACATTGAAAGTAAAAAAATCTTAATGGTCCTAAAATGGGTTTCATTATTTTTTTCCTTTTGATAACTGAGTGAACTGAGCTGAACCTGTTTTTTTTTTGTTTTTTTTAGAAGCCAATTTCCACAAAAAATAAAAATAATAAAGTAATTGCAACTTTTTCTCTTGCAATTCTGGCTTTGTTTTTACAATTTTGAGAGATATAAACTGGAAGAAAAAAAAGATTGAATTGTGAGAACATGTTGCAATTACCTTTATTTTTTTAAATAAATAAATATAATATGGTGGAAATGAAAGTCAGAAATGCAAGTTTAAAAATAAATAAATAAAATAAGTACAACTAAAAAAAAAATCTATTGTAAGGTGGAATGTTCTTAAAGCTTTTTTATTGGAGATTTTAAGTGATGATAAATGTGAATGTAAATCCGAAGCAAATACATTACAGTTGGTTTAAATGTAATGTATCTTGCTTTTTGACTATGGTATTTATTTACCCATCATATAAATGAAGTTTAAGACATCACAATGAAAAATAATCTTTTAAAGAATCTTTTACTAACTAAAAATTAGTGCTGGGCAACGATTAATCGCATATAAAATAAAAGTTTGTTTGTACATAATATATGTATTGTGTATATTTATTATGTATATATAAATAAACACAAATGAATGTATATATTTAAGAAAACTTATGTTTATATATTAAATATATTTATATATAAATTATGAATATAAATATATAACTATTTTCTACATATATGCTGTATGTGTCTTTATAAATACATAATAAATATGTAGTGACCACGCAAGGGATGCTGGGAAACCCCTGGCCGAACCCAGAAGCAGAGATCATATAGTGGAGCGAACATTAGCTCTGACCAGGAACACACCGACACTCACCCAAAGGGCTGCAGTAGTTGCTTTTGAATCGTATTTTTTTTTTCGCTTGCTGTTTTAATTTGTCTGAGAAAGTGTCCTTTAAATGCAAAAGAAGACCGGAGGAGACTGTTCCACTTCTCTCACGTGATGCCACCGTTTCCTTCTTCTAAACTTCAATGTTGTTGCCGGCATAAAGCCTGGTCCATGTTCGGGCTGTGAGAGAGAGAAAAACACCCTCCAGGACATTAATTAAGATCATATCGATTTAATTTGGGTGAATCTCAAAAAAACAGTCATAATACAGTAATGAGAATCAGAAAAACTGGAATTGCAAAAATGACAACAACAACAAACAAAAAACAAACAAACATTGAAAGTAAAAAAATCTTAATGGTCCTAAAATGGGTTTCATTATTTTTTTCCTTTTGATTACTGAGTGAACTGAGCTGAACCTGTTTTTTTTTTGTTTTTTTTAGAAGCCAATTTCCACAAAAAATAAAAATAATAAAGTAATTGCAACTTTTTCTCTTGCAATTCTGGCTTTGTTTTTACAATTTTGAGAGATATAAACTGGAAGAAAAAAAAGATTGAATTGTGAGAACATGTTGCAATTACCTTTATTTTTTTAAATAAATAAATATAATATGGTGGAAATGAAAGTCAGAAATGCAAGTTTAAAAATAAATAAATAAAATAAGTACAACTAAAAAAAAAATCTATTGTAAGGTGGAATGTTCTTAAAGCTTTTTTATTGGAGATTTTAAGTGATGATAAATGTGAATGTAAATCCGAAGCAAATACATTACAGTTGGTTTAAATGTAATGTATCTTGCTTTTTGACTATGGTATTTATTTACCCATCATATAAATGAAGTTTAAGACATCACAATGAAAAATAATCTTTTAAAGAATCTTTTACTAACTAAAAATTAGTGCTGGGCAACGATTAATCGCATATAAAATAAAAGTTTGTTTGTACATAATATATGTATTGTGTATATTTATTATGTATATATAAATAAACACAAATGAATGTATATATTTAAGAAAACTTATGTTTATATATTAAATATATTTATATATAAATTATGAATATAAATATATAACTATTTTCTACATATATGCTGTATGTGTCTTTATAAATACATAATAAATATACACAGTACACACACATATATTATGTACACAAAAACTTTTATTTTGTATGCGATTAATCGTTACCCAGCACTATTAAAAACACATAAGGATGCTGAAATCTGAAGCTAGAAATGTTTGGAATAGGAACAGAAATGAAATAAGTGAGAGATATTCTTCCTCGTCTTGGCAAAAGGAGCGCAGTGGTGAAACGTCTCAGTTAAATATTTATTACATGGGTAATAACAATAAATAATAATTTCTTCCAAACAAGTACAATAAGACAACATCATAAACGTCTAGCTAGTGCTGATGAGAAAGTCTCACCTGTTTCAATGGCTTGAGCCTCGTTGCTCTTCCACTGTTCAGCGACATCATTAGCCAGCGGGTCATCAGGGTTCGGAGCGCTTAGCAGAGCCTGGATAGAGAGCAGCACTGTACGGATCTGAAGAGCCGGAGACCATTTATCTACAAGAGAGAAGAGTGACCATGAGCCCTATAAAGCCTACAGCATTGTATTTGATACATGAAGGTCTCTAAATGATCAAAACGTTGCTGTTAAACCTGTTGCACACAATATACTACATGCCTTCTGTCGTCTGATTGGTAGTTTTTTAGCAAGTAAAAGCTCTTTTAGTATAACTGTACAAATGCCCACCTTCAGCTTCACGTGTCTTTTGGCTGACAAATCTTGACTGATTTTTATCAAGCAAACGTCAGAATAACTGTAGTAATATTTCCAGATGAACCCTTACTGGACTGAAGCAGCTCGGCTTTACTTGATTCTCCATCATTTATTTTTTAGAAAAATCAGTGCGTCTCAAATCTGATCATCAGGATCTTTTGAGGAACGTTTGTTTCCAGAAGCTTTACTTTCACTGTTCCTCAGCGGAGGAATGATCTTCTCAAGCCTCCTCACATCTTCTGAGGAGCGTTTATTTCTTCAACTCTCAATCAGCACTGGATTCCATTGCATTATATGTTTTGATCATGTAAATATCATCTTAAGACATATTATTGGAGATACAGAGTGCTGACTGATCATTTTACGCAAGTATCTGCTGTACTGTAGATCTTGGTTATTTACATTACAAACATTAGAATTGTATACTTTTTGTCCATATAAATATCAGCATCTGCACCAGACTGAATTTTTTTTTGCTCAGTTTGAGTCACTGAATAAAATTAAGCTGTTTTCCCTTCATATTGTCACTGTATCATATTATATGCACCATAAAATCCTTATATATCAAATATAATACAAAACATGAAACACATATGCAAATTTAAATAAACTGCTCTATTTAAAAAAAAAAAATCAGACTATTATTTCATATGGCAGGCTTTACAAACACTATAATGACCTTTCAGGATGTCCAGACAGATCCTGCCCAGTTTGTCCACATTAGGATGGTAGATTTTGGTCATGAATCGGACCTTGGGAGCAGCCATGGGATACTCCTCTGGGAGGAACAGCTCCAGTTTGAACGTCCCGCCCTCAAAGGGCGAATCCTGCGGCCCAGAGATCACCACATGGAAATACCGAGCGTTTCCCTCATCAGGCTCCGCTCTGATTCCAGGCACAGGCTCGGCCAACAAGCGCTGCGTCTCCTGTCGAAACACACACGTGTGAAACGCAACGCCAGAGTCATGGGTTCGAATGCATGAACTGATCACATGTAAACCCTGAATGCAATGCAAGTCGCTTCAGATAAAAAACATCTGCCAAATGCATGAATATAAATGTAATGATACTGATGAACTTTATTTGGTTTCAGTTGCATGAAAGCAAAATCCATTAAGAAAGTACCCGCAGCTGCGTTGAATACTTTTGATAAAGTTTGTCCATAAAATACTTAAAAAAATGTAGAGGCACTTAGTAGCAAGCAAACTAAATATCCACAAGCAGAACGATGTCTAAGAAATTATCAGTACTTTTTGTAAACATACAATTCATGGAGATTCCTGTCATTTTATGTGACACCAATTATTTGATTTACACCAGTCTACTATTGACAATAATAGACTGGTGTAAATCAAATAATTAGTGTAATAATCAATTAAAGACAAACCAACGCCAAAATGGCATGTGACTGTGTAAGTGAACCGTGATTGGTCTGTTTAACTGTCAATCAGAGGACGGTCTCCTCCTGTCTAAGTGGGCGGTTCTGGGCCAGAACAAGCTGCAGTGTGTTTCAGACTTGCTGACAATTAAACTTCTGCAATGCAAGATTAGAATCGTGTAGACAAAACGCAAACAAGTGGTGAATCTCTGTGTACTTAAAATTCACTAACCACGTATTTACGACACACACTCTTTCTAAACAGCTCAATTCATGTCCTGTTTGCATGCAAACTCTCATTGCACGGAATATTCTGCTAACACATGCACACATTTCCCGAGTGTTTCCCAGCGCAGCGCGTGAGATCCGCATCTGTAAACACACCCGGATCTCTCAGCTGACAGACGCGCATCGCTGCTCGCTTACAATCCAGAAAGCTCTGATGCCACTGCTCTATGTCGCTCTTTCTATTAAGGCTATTCCCATATATTTTATGTGTTTGAAACAGTGAGCGCGCGGGAGCCTCCCTGCTGCAGCGCGAGCTCGGGCCAGCAGCAGCACGTGCCGTTTTCTTTCATTTGTAACGCATTGCTTTCGCAACGCGCACAAATACGGCAACGGAACGCACAAGACAAACATTATGGGAATTATACCTTAATAATCCTGCGGGGCAATCCAGCCATCTTGTTTTATTAATGCGGTTTGCGCCGTGGCCCGGTCCCTGCAGCTCGCGTTGAGGTTGACAACGCATGCGCGCAAGTCTTCCGGTAAAAAACGTCATCGTCTGTTCCGAAGTTTTTCTGGGAAATGTAGTTTTTCTACTGAGTACCTACTATTTTGTGTGTGTGCATTTCTAATTGTTTAAATGTTTTCCCCCCTTAAAACACTGTATAATCTTATACATGTATTGTTCTATACCTTTATTATTTGTTTTAATATATTTTGAATCAATTATTAATATTTTTTCTTTACTTTTTATTGTTCATGATGTTATGATTATTTTTACATCCTTTTCCTTCTTGTTTAATACATTTAAAATTAATTACATTTTATTTTGTTACTTTTGTATTGTTCATTTGAGTTGTTATGCATCTGTTGATTATTTTAAACCCCTCTTTATGTATAGCACTTTTAATTGTGTATGAAATGTGCTATATAAACTTGCTTTACCCAAGTAAATTATCTATTAAATACAAGTTTTAACCAAATGAATGACTTCACCAAAAATTTAGAATGTGTTATACTACGCTGAGAAAATAATAAGATATCATTCATGTCAATTGATATGGTTAACATTAATCATTTTGAATTAGTTTTAATTTTTATATATATATATACATTTTTTATTTTTGTCGTGTTTGGTCATACGTTATTCGTTTTGTTTTTTAAATATCTATAGTTTTAACACATTTTTCCCTCAATTTTAGTTTTCGTTCATTTAGAACTTCAAGTTAAACTAAATAAAAATGATAAACGTTGCTTTGGCAACTTTTTTTTACTTTTTATATTTCAATTATAGATTTTTTCAAGGTTTAAGTTAATTATAATATGATTGATAACAAATAAATAATAATAATACACAATACATTAAACCAATAGCTGAAGGAAGGGTTTATTTAATGTGCAGAAGTACATGTACAAAGAACATTAGAGAAGACCAGGACTATCGGTCTTTGGGTGGATTTGGCTTTCTGCGTCTGGAGTGATACCTGTAGTGAAAACAGAAACACAAACCAGTTCATTCAACTGAACCGAGGCAGAATATGTTGTTTTTGTCCAGTAGAGAATGCAAACTCACTGTCCGACGGGGTACCAGCGGTGTTTGGTGGTGTAAAACATCTTACTGAGCTCCTCTATGGTCGGGGTCTGTTTGTTATTTAAAACCTCTTTACCAAGTCTGGCTTTGAGCACCTGCTCGTGCGTCTCTGCATGATCACTGACGACATCCGGCCTGACGATCGGCTACAACAAACAAACAAAACACACACACTTATGCACAACATCTCCACAAATCGGTCTGTTCTGCACTTTCACAAACCATCATACGCACCTGTGTGAACTCATAGGGTACGTCTTCTGTCGGATGATAACACACTATTGTGTTTCCATCAGATGTCACTGCGATTTCCACGTCACTGAAACAGAAGCAATGCATTTTAGAGAAACAAGCAACACAATGACACTTTATCTGATATGGGTGAAGTCTGACATGCAATAACTGCAGATGCATCATAGTAACTGAACAATTAAATGTGCATTTATGATGACATTATGTATGCATTGGAAACACTGACCTGTTGTCGTTAATGGACGAACCTCTGACAGTAGATTTGTTGTGAGATGACAGAAAAGTTCCAACTGAAATCGAAAAACAGAGAAAAACTTTTTTTTTTGTCGTTTTCTTATAATCTCGGAGTTGAAAGCGAACACATACAAGCCAAACCAGCACAACATCACTCATTCATAAGGTCAGAAATGTAGGTTATACAGTACAGCACAGTCCTACACTCTGGCTGTGTTTGCAACACATTTACAGTAGTTACGCATACAAATTCAACTTATTTATAACCAACATGTGACTGTTTTTCATTATGAGAGCTCACCTCTGAATGGTCTAATATTTCTGCTGGTGTTAACGCGATTAAACAGGTGAGCCAGTCTGCTGATGTGACCCGACGCCATGCTTTCCGCTAATAGAACTGAAACAGTGGAAGGGAAACGGAAGTTAGGAACACCGCGGCTCAACAAAGACACGTTTTGCAACGTTTTCGGACTATATTATTAAATCAACCCATAGTTTTTAATCGTTATTGTGTGTTTTGTTTAGTTCTGTTCTTATAATCCGAACTGTCTTGAAATTCGACTCAAAATATGCCCTGATTTTTTAATGAAGTTCAACGAGGAATTTGGTTTTTGAACTTTAGAGCGCCCTCTAGCGGAACTATTCCAAACAGTGCGCTACATAAATATTCCTCCGGGTAGGAAACAATCCGCGCCGTTGGCCGTTCAGGTCCCATTGCTTTATTTAATCGATAAAAAACATAGTCATAGTAAACACCGGCAAAATAAATAAACTAAAGAAATAAATCAATCAATAAATAATATTAACAATTATTTTCAGATAAAATAAATTGGTGTCTTGCAGTACCTCGCAGCCCCACTAGGAGGAAGCGTAACACGTTACAAACCACCTTTAGAAAAATAAAATATATATTTTTAATAAAATTAAACTCCACTATGACTTTAATGAAATTTAAATATTTTTCTTTCTTTAAGATATGTGGTATTCATTGTTATTATTAATCTATTTATTATAATGTATTAACTTTGTAATGCATGGAGCGCCCTCTGGCGGCATAAATATCCAATTGCGGTTCCAATTTCCTAATTATATGGATTATCACAGAGCATTAGGATAAAATAAATCACAAAGCCAATTAGTTTTCCCTAACATTTATGAAAGATAATATTTTAAAGGGGCAAAAAATAAACTTATCAACACCAGCAGTACCGCCATACGCCACTGGAGGGCAGCGAAACACCGCCACAGGGATCGCTTTATTCAAAAGAATCAAATAAAATCATGGATAAAATAAAATTGAATCATTAGGATAAAATAAAATCATGAAGCCAATTAGTTTTTACTAACATCTATGAAAGATAATATTTTAAAGGGGGAAAAAAATAAACTCATCACCACCAGCAGTACCGCCATACGCCACTGGAGGGCAGCGAAACCGCATATAGAGATCGTTTTACATCAAAAGGATCTAATAAACTCATGGATCAAATAAAATTTAATCATTAGGATAAAACAAAAGCATGAAGCCAATTCGTTTTCACAAACATTTAAGATAGATCATATTTTAAAAGGATAAAAAAAAACAAAAAAAAACAAACACCAGGCAGTACCGCAATACGCCACTGGAGGGCACCGAAACCCGCCCTAGAGATCGTTTTATTCTAAAGGATAAAATAAAATCATGGACAAAATAAGATGTATTCATTAGGATAAAATAAAAGCATGTAGCCAATTATTTTTCTCTAACATTTATGAAAGATAATATTTAAAGTTGCAAAAAATAAACGTATCAACACCAGCAGTACTGCAATGCGCCACTGGAGGGCAGCGAAACACCGCCACAGAGATCGTTTTATTCAACAATCATTTATGAAATCATTAAAGCGTTTGTTTTTTTCAGAACTGATCAGTTCGGAATCGTTAAATGGTGACAGAAATAATTTTGAAATACAGAGTAAGACAAATGCCTTGGATTCCATAGTTTTATATTGGAAATTATTCATCATAATTATTTATACACTTCCTAAAAAAAATAAGTATGCAGAGAAATTTCAATCATCATTGAGATTCCCTCAAAGGAAAGTGGCTTCAAACATTTGTCAAAGACAGCAAAGTTCTGATATCAGCACATATACATCAGAAGATAACATGTCAGAAGATAAGTCTGTTCTGTATATTGAGAGATGCTGTTCGTATTATTCATTATGAAGCACTGATCCATGTTTCTCAGTCTTCTGTGAGTCGATGATTCAGTCTCAGATTATGCAGGTGGTTATGAGACGTCCATGACACCGCCGGACGCTCCGGATACTGTATTCACCACCAAACGTTCCCGACTGCTGAAAGCCTCCGCGACTGGAGATACGACAGATTACAGTTAACAACAAACAAACACACACACACACACACACACACACACAGATCCTCACGAGACGCTTGAGATTCACACCTGCAGCGACGTCGCTGATGTCCCAGACGCGCAGCCCATCCCTCTGTCCTCCAAACGCACAGACGAATGGCAGATCTGGACAACAGGAGCCGCAGAACACAACGCCCTGTGACAGAGAGACAGAGGCGCGTTATAAAGCCGCGTTCACTGGTTAGACGCTCGTGTGTCAGATACGCACCATCTTCATGTCTCTGGAGTGGATCAGGGTGGGTTTGTCTCCCATGATGTCCCAGATCTTCACGTGTTTGTCTGCTGAAGACGTGACCAGACAGCCGCGGATCTGACTGCTCAGATCCATCCCTGAGAAAACATCACGACGGCTACTATCATCAGAGTGTTATTTTATTATTATTGATACACTATTATAGTTTTTATTAATATTATTACAGAATAATTAATGTTGTTTTCATTTTAAGTTTTGGTCATTTTTTGTGCGTTTTTGTCATTTCTATTAGTTTTTAATTTTGTCCGTTTTTAATCTTAATTTTAGTTATTTTAGTACATCAACTAAAATCAAATGATAATTTGAAATGAAATAAAATAAGCTGAAATTTTTTTTTTCCTTTAAAAAGTTTTTTTTGTTATTTTACTATCAGATATATTATTAGGTAACGCTTTATTTTAAGGTGTCCTTGTTACACGTTACATGTTCTTACTATTATAATAACAATAATTTATGCACAATTACATACAAGTCACCCTAAACCAAACCCTAATCCTAACCCTAACCATAACCTAGGGCTGGACGATATGGCAAAAATTTATATCACAGTATATTTCTTGATTTCAGTGCAAAAACAGTAACATTTTGAAATATATTTACTATTTAAAATAACAGTTTTCTATTTGAAAATATTTTAAAATACAATTTATTCCTGTGATTTCAAAGCTATATTTTTAGCATCATTACTCCAGTCACATGATCCTTCAGAAATCATTCTAATATTCTGATTTGCTGC